AAAAGGGGTTGCTAATATGCGTAATAAACAGATGTGAAAATGCCATCAAATCACATTAAATCGAGCAAGCTACTATACAGGTTAGGCACAAAGCTTGCCGCGCGGTGATCACATTGCCAGGTGAAGCTTAATAGGCCTATCTCCCGCGCAGTACTATCTCGTCCTATGGACAGCACATTACGATTCACGTAATGAGATTTGTAGCGACTAATGAAATTTCCTGCACATGTTCAAGAAAAACACTGACCGGATGTTGAAGCCTTTTATGGATTCAAGTTAGGTATCTGGTCACACACACGGATCATTACGAATATGTATTTCTAAATTCTCCGACAAAGATTTCAATAATTATTTCAGTCTTAATGTGTGGTAATTTGCTGCACATAAATACATACTGCTGTTTGTCTCTGCGTAAATACTGATTTCATTAATTTTCAGTAAATTTCTTGAAATTGGAAAGAGGTGACTTGTTATGTGGGATTATAGCAACTGTAACAATCGATGGACAAAGTGTACCTTCGTATATAGTTCTAGGCTATTTTTGGATTCATCTCTAGCTTTGAATTTGAGGTTCCTCGGCAGAAACCCCAGTCCAATTGAACCGGGTTCTTCAGAGTCACGAGGATGGGGGCTGAAGTCAGAATCAGACATGATGCCTAAATTTGAAAAAAACGGCCTTAGCCTAGAAAACCCTCCAAAAGCTCGACTTGGATTTAACAACAGCTGTAACTGCTCCCTATTATGAAAAAAAAGAGAGAAGAATGAGGTTTACGGAGGGCCACGCCCAGCTTAGTCGAGGATAGGGGCTGATGTCTGAGGTCTACTCTCTTTTTTTGAAGTACAACGGCCCTTATCTGGCCCCCTCACTACGCCCCTGTCAATCAGTCCCCTTTACTTCACCCAGGGGAGGGGAAATCGGTTTGGAGAAGCCAAAGCTGCGGGATTGTTACTCAGCAGAAAGACACTAACGGCTGGACGAAGACAGTTCGGAAAGGGGGGAGGGTTAGTTACAGATGTTCGTGGACTTGCTGTGACCTCACGGGATTGGACACAAGTGGGTGATTCAATCTAATACTGGAATGCTTGTATTAAGGCAAATACCTCATCGGCTTATGGGACCGGGAGCGAAGCTGTGGGGTTGGAAAGTGCATCGTCGAGTAAAGTTGAATTGCTAGGTCGGTGAAGAGCAGGGGAAAGGGGCGATTGGACTATTTATGAAACGTCACGCTGGTGGGATGATTGGGTACTATCACCGAGTACTGTTAATACGCGAGTTTCACAGTAGCGCGCCTCCAAGAGTTTGTAACGCGTTGGCCAAACACAATACGCGAAATCAGTCGACCCAATTCCATGAATGCGCGTTTGGAAAGGGTCGACAGATTTCGCGCATTGTGATCGCCCGTATAGTGGAAAAAAGGAGCTTTTTGAGGGACTCAAAGAAGGCTTAGTCAAGTCCATTCATTTTTAATAGAAAAGTGGAAAGCCTTAAGTTTCCTGTTAGTTTAGCAGGGATGTAGTCGAGTCAGTCGCAAGTCCCGGACAAGTCAATCGTAATACCTGAGCTTCCACTTTCAGAGATCAAAAACTTTTGTGACTTTTGATGAACTTGCGGCCATTTGAAATAGGTCGGTATGAAACATACGTCACACATGAGACGGATAGGCCTACACGACAAATGTTGACAACGGTAAGTCCGATTCCACTGGGGCTACAAGGAGGAATAACCGACCAGGTGATGACGAACGCTCGAACACGGTCGTTAAGCCGTGGCACAAACACATCTGTCCTTCACTCAGCGATTGTGGAGACATGGAAAGAGAACACCACACTCTCAAAAAACACATGTTGCTCTGCCTGGTCTTCGGTGTTTTTTTCCCAGAGTATGGGCAATTTGTAACATAACGCAATGATTACACCATGTTGGTGCCAAGCGCAGTCACGCCACGCTAGGTGGAACCGTTGGGGAATATCTCATTCTGACTCGGAATAAAATTTTATACAAGTGGAGCTCGCAAAGCGATCTTTCCACAGCAAAGGAAGTATTAGAGTTTAATTTCCTGTATTTGTTCAAGAGATGTCACTGGGGACCCAGGCCGGCTGAGTCTGGGTGAATTGACGGGGATTCGGAAATGCAATCATCCGTAGGTCAGGCCCGTGTGAGGTGCCTGGTGGCTACCGCGCGGACAAAAGGGGTGAGGTGCGGTGACTGCGCCTCTCTCAACACCATGTGAATGACTGAGACCGGGTGAAATCGGGGGGACCTAATCATTACCCCATTCGCGGCCAACAGGGGATGATACAGAGAAAGTAATGGGCATTCCAGGGATGATGAAAAAAAGAATTACATGTACGCTTCACACACAGTCATCAATTTTTGCATACACTCCCTGTGCACATGTGCGTGTGCTGTACTATCAGGCCGGTACTTGTGAGCCATTTGCATCAGGTATGCGTGTCTTTCGCTCGAGGTTTTTCATCCAAGTGCACGTTGTGTTAACACCGCAATATAATCGCTGGACAGATGTGGAGTCAGACTTCTACAGTGCAAAGGGGGTTTCAGGCGCTGGCTACGACGCCCATCAACTTGAGAGTACATGTGTGTGCATCTGTAAGGAATGTCCTAAATTTTTCAAAGAAAGGATATTTCCTTTACTAAACCCGGCTAACATTCCCCCCCCAAAAGCGCCTACAAGTACTGAGTACCCCACACAGTTTAGCTCACTATTTCTATCTGGTTGGTCGAAAGACAGAGGCCCAAACTACAACATTCGCTAAGAAATTTCCTACTGAAAGGTGCACGGTAAAACACTGAGTTCTATGCATGGGTGTGCATTATGAACTCTTGTAAGAAATTTACTTTGAATGCTTTGCAACTGTGTGCATAAAGAAAACTGCAATGAGGTTTGAATCAATTGAATTGACAAAAACATTTAAAAAATGCAAGGTCTCCCTTTGCCCTTCTTAAACCCTGTTAGGTTTTCACAGGCAGCGCAAGATCTGACATGCGTCAGCTCAGTGAACTTCAGAGAGCAGGTCAAGCGTAAGCCAGGGGGCTTTCCTCGCAGCCATGACTGTACACTATGGGCCGGTAGCAACCACGGAGCTGCAACAGTAAATCTTGGCGTGGGTGGGTGGGAGACGGCACGTGGTGTAACAGTTAAGCAGGTGCAGCTAAATATCCCACGCACTTGTCACAATCTAAGCACTGTGGGTCTCCCCAACAGATGTTGTTGTTGTTGTTGTTGTTTATTGTTGTTGTCGTTGTTTCAGCTACTGAGGCTATTCGTGCCAATAACTGTAGGTTTACTCATAATCTTTGTGAATCAGGAAGGAGGTCCAGTTTTAGAGGCAGGACTCCCCGACTGAACCCATAACTTTTCCCTACAGGCCGTTAGCAACCCAGACGCTGCAACAGTAAATCTGGGTATGGCCTGGGTGGGAGTGGTGGGAGGGCTGCACCTCCTACCCAATAAGAATTTACAGCATTCCCAAGGCATCTTGTCACAAACGTAAGCATTTCAGGGCTCTGCATCTGTCTCTAGACTGCTCACTTCAGGCCAGTAGCTACAGAGACACAATAAAACTGGACATGGGTGGGGGCAGGGACACATCATGTACCCGATTAGCGGGTACAGCAATCATCCGGTCCATCCTCACCATTCTCAGCCTTCCTTCCATGGCAAAGACACCATAAAATTTTGTGTCAAATTTGGACTTTCCGACCAGCTGGGAATCTAATCATACCTGTCCAAGGCTGCCATGATGAACTCTGAATGGCATTTAAACGCTTCTCTGATTTGCCCCTGAAAAACAGATGCTCAGAGTGGCTTTCTCTTTTTTGATACATGGCATGTTTGGAAGGGGTTGGGGGAAAGTGGTGCGGGGGGGGTGACTCTCTGAACTTGAAGTTGGTTGTCGGGATGACCTGGCATGCACAGGCATGTCAAGGCAGACAGCCAGTTACATCACGCCAAACATACCTACAATGATGTGACGGGATTCCATGGGGCAGCCGGTGCTACCATTATGCTTACCCTGCTCAGCCGGAAACAAATTGATCATCAAGGTTAGGCTGTTTTCTGTCCATCACAAGAGATAGGTTAGTTGTGACCACCTTCAATTATGCACAACTTAAGGTAAAAATGTGCTGAGTCTTAGGTGTTGCTTTTGCTTACTAGAACTTTCTCTTTTCCCTAGTCAAGGCCATCCTTTTGCCAATCAATTGGTTAGTAACCTGTGGCTAGTCGTCAATACAAAATCACTGGAATACTTCACAAGGTGACATAAAAAATTCAGGCAGCTACCTGAGCAGTAAGCAATAAAGAGTAGCTTCTAAATACTACAAGGAAATACCTCCCTCTTCAAGACCGATGGGGCAAATTTGGAACTTGCAACAAAAACTGCTGCCCAGGGTGGACTCTTTTGTAAACCCTGGCCACCCATGCAGAATGGCAGGCAGCGTTTGTAAACAAAAGAGGGGTCCTTAAGGAAGCCACAAAGGTTGGCAGGGAACTCTGGGTAGCGTCAGAATTTTCTGGGGTCAAGCCAAGAGAGGATTTTTGTGTTCTTGTCACTAAATTGGGGGGGGGGAGTTAGGGGCAGGAACCTGCCAGGCATGGCACAGGAATCAACTCCTTGTGCCAGAATTGTGACCTTGAATTCAATTTTTTGGGGAGATAACCTCACTTCCCTTGGAGAGAGGATCTCCTCCCCCCCACTATGTGTAATCAATCACGCAAACAGATTGACTGGTTGAAGTGCTACCTGCTATGATGCCGCTGACAGATAGGCACAGCAAGTGGCTTAGGCAATTCAAGACAGGTGTATGCTGGGGCAGACAGAATGTCACTGTGATTCGGCAGAGGGGAGGTCATGTCATAATCAGGGCCTCACATTTCTCTGCAGCCTTGCACTCACTGTCCATGTGGCACGAGGTCATGCTACAAAGTTTTGAGTCCCTGCAGGGGGCTGCTTAATAGAAATACAAAAGAGCTGCTTAGTTTTCAAGAGCTGCTTAGCTTAGTTTACTAGTAAGCAAAGACAAGTTTAATACAATGTGGGTGTCTCTCACCTAGTTCTCCTGTGCTCACCATCAACTTATAAGTCTTATTATATTCCCATGTTCATGCTTGCCTATCTGTGCGAAGCAATTTTCATGAAATAGAACCCTGCTTTTCAACACTGTTAAATCCTCTTTAACAATGTCAAATCCCCTTCGCTCTATAAATTCAGTTGGTTCTTTCAGAGCAAGACAACTGACACAAGAGACTAACATCCATCGTGCTACAGCAAACCTTACCACACTTTGTTCATATCCACCAAGCAAACCAACATAAACGTCATATTCCTGGGAATGTATAGTATGGGCAGAGTGAATCAATTCACTCAAGAATCACTGTGCTCATATTCCGGTTCTACATGAGTTTGCTGCTATTATTTTCAAAAAATCAATAATAAAGGCATATTTATTTACACACACATTGCTGGAAAAATAATTTAGCGTGGCTATATAATTTGCCAAATTTGTAAATTTTGGACGCGCAAAGATTTGTGAATACCAACAACACTACAGAAAGGTAGGGAAGTCAAAAAAGAGGAAATCAGCTCTTTCAGCTAATAGATGAAAAAAAATGGATTCCTGATTATAATAGGTTACAGCCACTTGGTTTGAACAGAAGTATATAATTTATGCATGTACATGTCCATTGTCTAGTTAATTTGGGTACCTGAACCGTCCTGAGTTTGGCTAACCAGAAACTCTTGGAACCTGGCCAGGGACTGGACCAGCTGCTGACCAGCCAGTGACACCAAGTGGTTGGGCCGACAGGCCAGGGTGGCCGAGGAGACAGAGGACTCCAGCGAGACGTCCGAGCACTCGCTGCAGGAGGGGGTGGGCAGGAGGCAGCAGGAGGAGGCAGCAGCTGCCAGAGCAGGGCCCACTTGAAGGAGAGCTTGGACAAGGAGCAACAGCTGACACCAGTCGATGACTTCCCCTGCTGGGAATCGAAGAATTGGTTTGCACAAATTAGTACCAAAATGAATGTGAAGAGAAACCTAGTACCAGTTTCATAAGCTGCTAGCAGAAATTGCCAGGTTTACTGAGCAGCAAACCTGCCTAAGCAATTTTTTATAGTTCTATGAAACCGGGCTCTGGTTAGGCCTACTTTCCATCAAATATTCAGCAAAGCACAAAGTTGCAGACTTACAAAATAAACTTTTCTATATGCTACACCAACTGACTTGTCTGCCCCTAATGAGTAGAATTCTATAGGGGAACATAGATAGAAAAAAATTGTACCTAAAATTTCACCAAAAAAAGATTGAGACTGCATAAAGCTTTCACCCATGTAGTCTCATGCTATTCAATTAAGTGTTCTTACCATTCAATCCCAGTCAGCACAGAGGACAATGAAATTTTCAGGAAAAAAAAAGAGTAAAAGTGAGGGTTGAAAGTGAAATCTCTGAACCTGAGCCACATCTGTCATAAGACATTTTCCCCCACTAGATGCAAAGATGATGACAAAACACTGCAGAACATCAGACCTTGACTCATGCTAGCCAACACCAACATCAAGTAATCCAGATGACTTTACAGTACTCCACAACAAAGCCCCCTTGTCAAAAACAGATACAAAACCACCTCTCCCCAAAATTCATGAATCATCTTGCTGAGCCAGCAAAAATAATAGCCCCAGACTGTCTGGGCCTGCCAGAGAAGAATATTTAAAGGGGGGAGGGGAGATGGGCTCAGTCCCCCCCCCTCCAGGAATTTCCTTGTCATTCCGGATGTGTCCTGATCTGCTGGGAGCTTGGTTGCACCCCCCATTAGGCTTGTTTGTTTAGTGGGTAAGCCGCCGGTTGATTTCCTCCTTTCTCATGGGGGAGGGGGCTGGTGAATGAGCCCCCTCGCCTTTAACAGAACATGGGGGGAGGGGGGATTTGTACAAATTACGGTGGCCCGCCGGGAATAGTTAAGGTGTGAAATGCTTGATAACACTGGATGTCTGTGTGGACTGACGGGACTGGCATGCACGATGATGCATAATTTGTCATATCTCATCCTTTCAAACGCAGTGTCTACAAACCTTGTGTGATCCACAGCTGACTTCCAGAAATCCTACCCCCCCTAAAAAATCTTTTAAAATTAAGGTGAAATTCACACAAAAAAGTAAATATATGAATAAAAATAAAGCAAAGATAACAGCAAATTAAGGACAAAGTAATCTCCATTATTAAGGTAAATTGTGACAATAATTCTTTGCAGTTAAACACTAACCTTAAAAGTACCTACATTTTTTCAGGCATTGTAGCCACATATTCTTTTTAATTTCACAAAATTCTTTAGGAGTACTTTCACTGATTTGTTTCAGTTAGTTTGACACTAGGTTTATGAAAATGTTGGGAGTGGACTTTTCATTACAAGTCCCTGCAAGTTCATCACCAACTCTCTTGTCTTTGGACAAGCTACTTCACAAACTATTCAAATAAATTGTGGCAAAAGCTTTCCTTCCTTTGTCATTGTAAGGCTTGTGACATGCCTTGTGAAAGGACTTGTGACTAGACCTGTGAAAGGACTTGAGAAAGGACCTGTAAAAGAACTTGTGAAGAGACCTTCACTGGTCCTGTGAAAGGACTTGTGACTGGTCTCGTGAAAGGATTTGTGACTGGACTTGTGAAAGGGCTTGTGATGGGACCTGTGAAAGGACTTGTGACTGGACTTGTGAAGGGACTTGAGAAAGGACCTGTAAAAGGACTTGTGAAGAGACCTTCACTGGTCCTGTGAAAGGACTTGTGACTGGTCTCGTGAAAGGATTTGTGACTGGACTTGTGAAAGGGCTTGTGATGGGACCTGTGAAAGGACTTGTTATGAGACTTTGACTGGTCTTGTGAAAGGACCTGTGACTGGACAAAAGGACATGTAACTTGTCTTGTGAAATGACTTGGACTTGACTTGAAAATGGACTTTACTTGGACTTATGAAAGGATTTGTGAAAGGACTTGTGAAAGTCTTAAACGTATGAAAGGACACGCGACTGGACTTGTGAAGGACTTGTGACTGGCCTTATTGCAAGGATTTGTTTGCAACTCGATCACAGCCCTGATTCGTTGTAATTGCTAAAATGCCAGACTCATCTTTTCGTCAGCCGCTGTGACCTCATTGACCCCAACCTGAATCTTTTAGAGTGTGCATTCCTTGAGGTTTTCCGAGACTTGGGGGGCAACTGGGGAAATCGGCTCGGACACGGTGAGTGTACATGATCCTTTAAGAGCTGGGGATTACTTGTCTGAGCTCATTACACATGCACGTGTAAACTGTGAATCTGTCAGCTGTGCAGACTGATTACATGGGGACAGTTTGTTGCACACGGATCTGGATCTCGATCGCTGGTCCAAATGCCAGTTCGCTCCATCCGCAAGGTGGGTTTGGCGTCCGTGAACCAACGACAGATCATTGATCGTAATCCAGATTGGTGTGAAACAAACAGGCCCGTGGAGATGTCTCACAGGATAATTCATAATTAATGACAAATGCAAATGTAAATTGCACATACATGTACTAAAGTACGAATGCCAATGTTGACGCTATGAATTTGCTGAAAGTGCCTGGTAAGCTGTACATAATTCAGTACTTGTGAAAACAATTATGGAACGTATGATTAGTGATGTCAAATACGAGCAGAATTCCAATTCATAAATGTGCATACAGTGGAACTGGGACTGTGCAAAATATAGATCCTTGGATGCGTTGCACTTCTTTTGGTGGATACAAATAGGACAGAAACTCACATGTAAAGCACAGATTCCAAAGATGAAAGAGATCCGGTAGGTTTCATGGAAGCCTAAATTGATTTTACAACCAGCTTTGAGTGCTAAAGGGTAATGCAACACTTTACTACAACCCTTGTAATTCACCTTTGAGTTTCAATTACGTAACCTTATTTTTAGCTGTTTCGGCTGGCAGCTGGAACAGATTTCCTTTTTTTCCCTTTTTCAGACAAGTTTTGTTGTCCCATAGGACTTTGATAGTTTCATACATCTGATCGACTTCAAATATGGCAGACCTTCAGACAATCATCCAAGGATGATGATGACGTCATCATGATGACGTCATCACATGATTTATTATTGATTTTTCAATATTTATTTCAGCCCATTTACTTTGTACACATTTGCAAGCCACCATTTTGGTAACTTAGAAATCTTTGATCGTCATCAAAGTTACAGCTAAAAAGACCCTGATAAAAGGAATTTCCTTAATTTATGACATCATGGTGACGTCATCACCTTATTTTTTTAATCATTTTTGGATATTTAATTTTCCCCCATAGTTTCTGTACATGTGTTTCAACAGTCTGTCTTCGGCACTCTGGTCACCCTGACTTATTCCATTTATGTACACTCTAGTCCACCATGGACAGAGGGTCCAGGGACAAAATCATCAAAATGACATCAGCAGGAGACACATGACATGAGATTAAAGCTGCAGTTTGTCTGCATAGGTTTTGTACACATTTTTCTACTGAACATCATTACCGATTGTAATGAGTAAGTAGTCCTTGACTTCGGTTGAAAAGCACTATGAGAATAAAAGAGAAATTAAACTAAATTTTCCCTTTCATTCCATTATAAATATACCCAAGAGTCAAAATATCAAGTAGTGTTTCATAAAAATGTTTAACGGCAAATCATGTGACATGCACTTAAAGGAGCAGCTTTTCTGCATATGTGTTTTTAGCCCATTGACTTTGTACATATTTTCAAGCCATGATCATGGTAACTTTGTGATGTTTGATCTTTATCAAAGTGATAGCCAACAGAGACCCTGATACAAAAATTATTCGAAATGGATGATGTCATCATCTGATTTATTGATTTTTTAATGTTCGTTTCAGCCCACTGACTTTGTTCATGTTTTCAAGCCACATTTTGGTAACTTCACGATGTTTGATCATTATCAAAGTTACAGCCAACAATTGATTTTTGTATATTTTATTTTTCCCCATTTAACAACTTGAAATCCAAAGCAGCTCTGTGGTTGTTGCTGTAGCAACCACAACCTCTATTCAAACTTTGTTTGCTAATCTGTACTTGGCACCTATTTGGATTTAATGCTAATGCATATTTGCATATTCGTGAGCAAAACTGTTACGTCATCCCTGGATTAAACCTTGATATTACATTGCTTTTTACACAAAAATCTGCTGGAAGTTGTATATTTTGTAGTTGCAAATATCCAATTTTTGGCAGTTCATTGTTATGTGAGTATATATAACAAGTCAGTCAGCAACATTTTATCTGACGGTTTAAAAATGGAAATTTGGGGTTCAAAATAATAAACAAGGAAACATGTCAACTGAACAGCGCCATCACGTGTCTGGAAAAGCTTGGACATTTTTCAATGTTTAAAAGAGTGCTCTTTTCAATATGCCGAACTCCAATACAGATATTCAAACAGATTTTGTCCAATGAGGAGTCAAAACATCCCAAAAAAGTGAGTCTAAGAAAGTTCCTTGCATGGATCCTGGCTTTCCACAGCGATCTTTCAAAACCCCCTTAAAAACACTCCTTCATCATCGTCCATAACAGCTGTTGAAATCTAGCGCCATAGTGTAACAACGTAGCAGATATGATACATTTCTTGTTGACTAGATTTCAAAGTCATGAAATTTTTCGGTGTTGATATAATTGCTTTTGAGCGGGCTTGTCATATATGTTACTCTAACGTGCAGGAGAGAATCGATATTAACATTAATTTCCTTTCCCAGGGCACCCTGGGATGGCTTGAAGGGGAAACACTTGCGAAAATGCTCAGATTTTATTAGGGTTGTGGGAAGGAGGGAAAGTACAATGCACGCACTGTGCTGAAGCTTGATGGAGTTTGGGGTACCCCGGTTTCTGTGAAGCATGGTTTGGCCCACTGTGATGGATACAGGGATGAAACAGAAATGACTGGGTTTTCCCCAAAGCAGCCCCATTTAGTCTCTATTCCAGGCTTTGTCACGGACACTGCAACTGCCCGTGGGACTGCCCTGCTCAAACGCAAAGAAAAAATTCTAACCTTGCACAAAACAAACCTTTCTATTGAGCAAAAAAAAATTGGAAACTTCAGGGGATAAAATCAGATAGTACCAGAAACAAAGACTTAGACAGCCAGCAAAGCTCCAGGAGAATTAGCCCAAGTGGAAACAACCATGCTCAAATGAGAACAACTGGATGCTTAACCTTTGCATGCAGGATAGCACACCTTGGAAAATGTGACGAAACAAGGGTAGGGAAAGGAGAGCAAAAAGTACGAGTGCATGAGTGTTTCAGCTCAGGTATTTGTACAAGGGGTTGTAGGTGAGAACACTTGGGACGAGTACAAAAAAGTACTCAAGTTGAGCGTATGATATAATATCCATCAGATGTACATTTAATGATGAGAGCAAGTATAAAACGAAGTGCAAGTTAAAGAATGAGTACTGTGCTACTGTACTACGCATGGGTTGTAACTTTGAGTGATGAGTAGTTTGAGTATCATAAAAAAGGCACCTTCCAGTGAGTACGGTAACTTCTTAATTTCTCACCGGCTGCAAGTGGACTTGCAATTCTGTTGATGGCCACAACAGTGTTGGTCAGCTGACTGGCCTGCAGGATGAGCTGGCCGGCCCGCCGGTAGCCGTGGCCGTAGGCACTGTCCAGCCGCTTGTCCCGGCCATCCAGCACACTTGCCAGCTCAAACTGGACATCCTGGCACTTGTGGAGCAGGATCTTGGCTGAGGTGGTGGTGGTGAGGCAGTGCTGGAGGGCGCTGTCCGCTAGCTGTGGAAAAGGAGAAATTGGAGGAAAATATTAAAATGGCCTAAGGGTTGTCATCAGAGAACCATGTTAAAAACATAAATCATCTGAAAATGAAGTTCCTTCAACTCCATCCTTCCAAAAGATTAATACTCACAGATATCACTTCCCCTGAAAGTCAGATTAAAAAAAAAGTCTTTTGGAATGACACATTTGGGATTAATTGATTAAGATGGCCAAATTGTCCAAATGTTTGGATTAATTAAGGAAACCTTGGTATGGTTGGCTAAATATTCACAACTTGTCTTAAAATGTCTTGACCAGAAACAAGAATTGAAAAGTTGTGATTGAAATAGGTTTTAGAAATACATGTAGATCTGTTTGTAATGTTGCAAGAGTGATTGTTTACCAACAAACTGAGCCTCATCAATTACAAGTCTGTCCATAAACAATAGGAGATGAACAAACAAGAAGAACATCATGCTTTGGACACATTTCATTTGAAAATCTTTACACTATTGACTTGAGACTTGGGATTGACGAATGACTTATGAGGACTCACGAGGGCTGGCCAGGACTTGTTAGAGCAAGAATTAAATTATCGGTGGTGTGACAGGAAATTGAAACCATCTGTTTGACCATGCTTGACCAGATATTGGCCCAACTGACAAAACAATTCTAACAATTGATTCTTCAATAAGGACTTGACAAGTCTCTGGACTTCATTCAAATCTCCTCAAGTGTAATACCATGTAACTTCACACATATCCTGGAGAAATTAATAAAACAAAATAAAACAGAACAAAACCAAAACAAATGGCCTATGCCTGGTTCGTGAATCTGGCATTTATTCCAGTAAGCTTAGGGGTATCCAATGGTTCAGCAAGACCAGGGGCTATAAATCCATAACCATTCCGTTATCTGAGTGGCATTGAGCAGGGGGCTGGCCCGCAACTCAGTTCTGTCACCACAGTCCCGATGAATTATGGCCATCCAGGACAAGGAAAATATTCCCTGGATTTGGCCAGAGCCAAGGGGACCGTAAAACTCATCTGGGTAGACTGGACTATGTAGGAATTTTTAAACTTTTCTTTTTCTTTTTTATTCAGGTTGTTTTAGTACAAGGCCAGTTGTGGTTGAGGGGGAAAAATGATTGAATTAGGGCAATTAAGGGGCACAGCAATTCCTGGAAGCTGAACAATAATTTTACAATCTGACATTTGAGTTCTTAGGACACCGTGTGAAAGCTAGATCATGCAATCAATCATCTCTAGAATCTGTCTTTTCTCTGAACATCCCTATTTATTCAACACCAACGTGGGCCACATGGGTGTTACATTTCAACAGTCAACACTACGTAGTTCCCCACTGCTGTAAAATAACACTGTGCCCTTCACGACATGTGCATGTATTTCAAGGTGGTAAAATTTAAAAGCAGTCTGAGAGGGATTACCGAGTAAAATCATCCACTACCCAAATTGCTGAATGTGCACATTTGCGAAGCATGAGAGTTACAAGTACCCCTTAGTGTAAATTAAATTATCAACAGTTACAAGTAGTTTAAATTTACTTGTTTACCTTATAAATTTGTTTTTAAAATGCCAATCAAACTTTGTGTACTGCTTTTTAGAAAGTCTTTCAATTCGGTTTGCTCAACATACAAAATTTGGGTTTAAAGTTCTTGCAGCCTTCCCCTGATAAACTTTTAGAAGAATGGGGAATGCATTCAGTCTGGAATCCACCTGATGAGACTGAGAAACAGGAATCCTAAACATTACGCGTAGTGCAATATTAGCTCTGAGCATGAACTAAAGAGGGCGCTGTGCAGCCCAGCAATAGCCACATCTGAACTGACAAGCTGAGGCTGGAAATAACACATGCATCTGTGGGAGGTGGCCACAGCCACTAGCCTATCTATGGCTGCCAAAGGAACAGGTGACATGTCCAGCTGAAGTCATAACATGTGGACCCAGCTTACCTTTTTTAACTCTCCACTGTCCACTACTAAGATAGCAAATAAGCCTGTATGGTATTTCCTAATGGCAAGGACATTTAACTACAAAGCACATGTGCACATCAGCGCGAGGCTGTGCTGATAGGGCAGACCTCACGCTACTCCTGAATAACCTCAGATATGCTTCATTTTGGACCTGCACTGTTGCAACACCAAACTGGCTGATTGTGTGTACAAAAGCCATGGGAAACTCATGAAGGTTGACACAATCATGGGAAAGCTCCACTGTAACTCCATTGTTAAATACTCTACAAGTGTTCTCAATGGACTGACAATTCCCTTTAAGCCAGTCCCCCTTAATTAATACCTTCCTGATGCTGAACACCTTGGCCCAAATTCTGAGGTCAGGCATGCAATATGGTTTCATGCTGCAGCATCTAAATAGTCTGGTCCCCATCTCTGGACAGACTCATTAGCAGGTGTGATATATGGGTGTATTTGGGCTGAGCAGCCAGACAGGTCCAATTAAGTGGCCATAAATCTCGCCTTGTTATGCTGGGCTGGCTTGTTGACAAACTGCAGGGGCTGGGAATGTGGGACAGTGGCACAGTTTTGCTTTTATGATTTTGGAGGGAAAAAATTTCTCACCGCTTTTAGATAATGGAGCCACAGAAAAACAGGGGCCTGGCTCAGCAAATTTTTGTTCAATGAACTAAGCAAAGAAACAGCTGGGAACCAGTTAATAAATAATAAAGCAATGTAAAGCATTTTAGCTGGTTCTGTGTAACTTAGTGAGTTTGAATGACGACCATTTGTCAACCACTGGTCAATTTTGCCTGGTACCCAGGGATGTATAGTGTGCACAGATTACACAGATTACAGATCACCCTCAATGAAATTGGCCCGCTTCTCTTCTACCAAACTTGTACACGTGCACAAGTTTATGATCAGACTTGTGACACTGAGACTTCCCACGGAGTCAATGCATAAGTGGCTGCTAGACTCTAGTTTTCCCAAAAATTAATCCAAGACGACCCTGATCCTGCAGGACCATCACACTCCCAGCACAGGTTTTAACTCGAGCGCGTGCACGCATTTGGTCCAAACACAACACCCTACTGATTGGTACATGTAACACATACGTACCATCTGCAAGCGAACAGGATGGCCCCACAATAATGGCTTCTCATTCTTAAATGCCAGATATGTCTACACATTAGCATTACAATGTACTGTTAGCCTGGCCAGCTTGCCTTTGGTTTGTTGAAAAAAGGGCCCACAGAACCACCGAGGTTTTTCTGTTTTTCTGTTACACCCAATAAGGACAACCACAGACTACTCTCTCTGGTACTTTCAGAGCAGAGCTGTAACTCATATCTTCACTTTTTGCCCCCCTTTAAGAAAGGAGGGCCAGTTGAGACTCATTAATCCACTGACTTCTCCCTCAAAGAGTGGGACAAAGTGGGGCCAACTCTTGCCCTCCCTGATAGAACATTAACAGTCTCTCTGGGCCAAGGGAGTTGTAAAAAAAAAAAAAATGGGGAGGCCAGATTTTTTATATAAGGAGAGAAAGACATTGGCCAGTAGTTTGATCAAAGAATTAGGTTACCAAAGTAGGTTGGATACTGCTTCAAGGGAGTTTTACCCGGAGAAAATAATGTCAAGCAGTAAACAAGAAAACAGTACAAAAAGTTTCTGATCAATGTGCCCGTTTTTCTCCTCATCAGCAGGTGTGAGATTTCTCAAGATTGTTACCCCAAATTCGAGGCTTTTGGAGGTTTTTAACATCAGACTTTGCTACCTTTTGCATTTAATATACAAAAATGCAAGATACGCACAATCATTGCTATTTGTAAAACAACTCATGTCTTGTCAGCTATTAAAAGCCCTGAAAGTTGTTGGTATTTTATCGGTGTGATTGTTGCAACCGCTGCGCGGGATGTTTCTTAGAAATCTCTTCACCCCTCAAATCTCACCTCTACACTCAATTTCATCACAATGGAATTGGACCCCAATCTCTTCCCACGCCCAACAAAGCCTTATTTGAGGTTTTCCTGGTGTCAATGGATGTGACAACATACCAAGTATACTCAAGTAGGTGCAGCCCTGCTATTAACTTCTCTGCACACAGCCTGATGTCCTAATTTGGTACTGAAGAGCAAGGAATGTGCTACCAGGTTACCGTACATTGTAGGACTTTCCAAAACTTTTCCAGCTAAAGTGCCCTCCTCCGTAAAGGAGCCATAAAGACCTTGAACTTGGTGAACTCAAAGTGAGCACAATGAGGTAAAGGGGTATCTTATGTGTGCTTCTCAAAATATGTTTGATAATTTTACTTCCATTTTTACCCACATTTAAATGAGGTAATCTAAACAGATGTGAGTCTGTATGGTGAAGGACGAGACAAGCCACTAGTCAGTGCCAACTTTCACCTTAACCAGCGACTGCGCCACCTGTTAAGCCAACATTATCTATTATCACTATCCTAGGGTTCAACCAATATTAAATCACAGAGCAACTAATCAACTAACCGATCTTTTTTTTTTTGGTTAGAAACATGATTCATAATCAGCCAGCAATCTGACCGGCCTGGGAAAGCCGCTGTGCACTGAAGTCACAACCCGTTACCCTAAACTGGACCTGTCACTTTCAGTGAAATGCTGTCCTCCCACAGGGAAGACACAATACCTCTAGCCACTGATCTTGTTTCTCCCTAGGACAGTAAATAACTATTGCTACTGAATTTATGGAGGAGGCGAAAAAAGCCAGCATCCACACCAGAGGTTGTGAATTCATCCTGAACCTCCTCCAGCTCCGCCCTTCTATTCCAAAATGGAAGTGTGGGGGGGAAGTCCCAGTTCCTGAATGTGATGAAAAGCACATGATGTAAAAGGATGTGCAGTTTTTTTGGACACGGTGATGTACCAAATGCTTGATTCTGTTGCTTCAATGTATCAAAGACTTGTGAAAGCTCAGCACTCACTTTGTCTCAACTACATGATTTGCTCTAAAGTGGGTTGTTTATGTGTCAAAGGAGCTTCCTGGGAGGGGTGGTCTGGATCACCATGGG